AATATTATAAGTGCAGGGTGGGCTATATGCAACAATAGTAAAGTAGTTTGCTTCAATTACGCAGATAGCAATCGCTTTAAAAGACGTATCACTGCAGAAATTTCCGACACGTACTTTTACATATTGGATTCCTTTTTCTTAGGCATATTCCGACAAAACAAAATGGAGAGAATTGTTTCGACAATAAATACTGCCAACATCAAAGTCGGTGAAGTTGAAAAATAATGCCTCTACCGAGAAGAGCCAACGTTCACATATGCAAAAGAAGTCAATAAGGTTTTCTTCTAATAAAAACTTCAAACGTACGCATTTTGTTCGGTATACATTGGCAGTTTATGAAAAACAGTAAAATAGTCTCTTTACGATCTTAAGGTGTGATATTTTGGTTTACACAGATTTACGTAAGTGTCTTGAGCTTATATTTTTAGGTCCTTGCCTCATCGTTCGATATTATTTAATTGAAATAGGTTTACCCCTTTTTTAAATGATATCTACCATATACGGCTGTTCTAATAACACGTTAAATAGTTTTCCTTTTATTTAAAAACACAAATTTTTAAATTTTGTGGCAAGCAGTAACGTTCAATAATAATAATTGATAATGATAACTGCTACATTTATTTTTCAGTTGGCGCTTAATACCTGTACTTCTTTTTTACACAAATACGGAGATAAAACTTAGTGTGATAAATATATTCAATACATTCAAAGGGTCGTATTTTTCATGAATGAATGATGTAAAATATTCAGTAAAAAAGAAATGTTGCGAACGAATTTACTAATTCCAAACATAACTAACAGCCGTTCAAGATGAAACTATAAAAATGTGGAAGTTCATTGCAGTTACTGCTAAAAACTGCACAAGCGCTGGATTAATACCTTAATCCTCAAAAAGCAAAATATAAGTACCACCTGTTTTCAACTCCTTAAAACTTTGCTTCCAAGCCTTCAGTTCGATTAACCGCAAATACTAAGACTCCAATTTATAGAACTACTTAGCGTAGTCAGCTGTTAGTTAAAGTATTCAATCTTCCTAATTTTATTTAACTTTTAATTGTACATTAAAAATTTAACGATGCAACTTTTAATTTAAACCGCTGCTAAATTTTCGTTGTAAAGGTACAGGCAAACTCGCTACTTCTTTTAATTAGATTACATAAATTAATATTTCCCTTCTTGCCGACAGCAAATTCCCGCGCCTCCTATTTATTCCATCTCTGCTTTTAATCGGGACTTTCCTTGAGACACAAACAAAAATAGCTTTTCCACTTTAATCGAACAAGTGGTAATTAATAAAGGTTCCCCTTCATTTCTTCGCTCAACCCACGTACTCACAAGATGCTTATTAATACTTAATTTAGAATGAACATTTAAACATTTTTCTATAAAAACAAGTTGTGTGAAATAGTTTAGGTACATATACTTCGAATATTTTGTGCTTGGAAACGTTATTCTAAAATTCAATGACTTAGTTGTTATTCAAAATAATCACATACAATAAATAAATGAAATTTAATAACACCTTCGGAGAGAGCTAGCCACTAAAAAATAATGAACTGGTTCATAAAGATTCACTTAATAAGAACGATATGACTTATTTTTTTTCCGAATTTAAAATTTGTAATTGATCCTAACTTGTTAATTATTAATAATTAATTAGTAATAAGAGTCCAAGCTTTCCAATGTGAGTCTCAGTCGAAATATTACAAATAACGTTTCATTCAGTGATTTGTTATGAACTTAAATATGTGTGATGATAAATAATGTGTATGAGTCACATGCAATAAATACAGGTAATAAAGTACGAGGGTGGGGTGATTAATGACGGGCCTGAACAGGAATGCATTGTTTTTTTCGGTTAATTTTTATTTAGGACCCGGTGGGTGAGGTGGCTTGGCATCTGCCCACTACACCTTGGGTCGTGGGTTCGATTCCCGCTTTGCCTCTGGGTGTTTTTGTATGTCCCCTTTTCCTGTAATTGGGCCTCTCGGCCTGTTGGAAAAGTAATTATTAAAATAAAATAAAAAAAAAAAAAAAATTAAAATAAAATAAAAAAAAAAATAAAAAATTTATTTCTCAACATGATCTCCATTTAGCTCGATACACTTAACCCAGCAATCTTCTAGAGCAGTTACACCGGAGTAATACAACGATTTATAGAGATCTTCAAAATAACTATTTGCTGCTTCGATGTTGTCATAAACCTCTTACCACCCAACCACTTTTTGAGGTTTGGGAAACAGTGGAAGTCACCAGGGGCTAAATAGGGTCTGTAGGGAGGGTGGGGGAGCAATTCAAATTTAAATTCATGAATTGAAGCCATCGCAATGACTGAAGTATGGACTGGTGTATTGTCCTGATGAAACAGCACCTTTTTTTTTCGCTAAATGTGGCCGTTTTGCGTTAATGTCCTATTGTAAACGTTGTAGTAGAGTAGCATAATATTCCCCACTAAGTATTTTTCCCTTTTGAAGGTAGTCAATAAAAATTATTCTCCTCGCATCCCAAAAGATGGTGGCCATAACCCTACTGGCCGATGCAACTGTCTTCGCTTTCTTCGGAGCAGGTTCTCTTTTTTTGGTCCACTGTCTCGACTGCTGTTTTGTCTCGGGGATGTAATGATGGACCCATGTTTCATCGACAGTAATGGATGGACGCAAAACTCAGTTGGGTTACACCTGTAGTGTGCCAAACAATCAGCCGAAACATCCTTACGACGCTGTTTTTGGTTTGGAGCGAGCAAACGCGGCACCCACCTGGCGCAAAGCTTCTTCATTGTTAAGTGTTCATCTAAAATATTTCGAATACACTCTGTTGTGATCCTTATTGATTCTGCTACCTCCCTCATTTTCACTTTCCGGTCAGCCAAGATGATTTTATGATTTTTTTCTGTAATTTCTGAAGGGGTCACCTCAACAGGGCGCCCAATGCGTGGCCTATTATTTGTGCTGATTCGACCCATTTTAAATTTAGCAACCCATCACTTAATTGTTGTATATGATGAAGAGGAGTCTCCCAATGTTGTATACAACTGTTTTTTGATCTCACTTGCTTTTAGGCCTTTCAAAAAAAAAAAAAAAATTTAATCACTGGCCGAATTTCCACTTTTTCCATTATGTCAGAATTGTTTGATGCATCTAATCTGAAGGACTGCCATCCAAATACTAAACGATATATTGACATGAAATTTTTAAGGGAAGCTGATGGAAGATGAAATTATGGAATGCCATCATTATACTGATCTTATTACTCCCATATCTATGTGAGGCCCGGTGCTTGTCACCCCACCCTCGTAACTTATTAGTGCACAGATCCTACAGTTACAAAGTTTATTTGGTATATACCTAAATAGTATATTAAGTATTAAGAACGGTAAGGGGTGTCTGAGACCAGTAAACCCCCTTAACGTTCGTGATGCTTATACTATTTTTTGTACGACCATCAAAAAATTTGCGTCTTTTTATCAAATTCATAAATTGAAAGAATTTATATCAAACATCAACAAGATCTTTTTTTTTATTTAAAATTTGTTACTATGGTTTCGATTAATATAAACAACAATTTTAAAAATCAGTTTCCATTTTGACCGCTGTCGATTTAGATTTGATCTGGCTCTATTTGGAGTTAATTTTCTTTCCGCGACTATTAGTGAGTGATTTATTTGCTTAAAATATCAGTCATGAGTAATTCTGAAAGCGAAAATATCGAAGTCGAACAAGCATGGAATTTAAAATAAAAAAAATCTTGAATGCATGATTACTAGAGAGCGGATTTCTGTCGGGCTAGGCAAGGCCAAACTTGGTACGGCTCGTACGGGATGGGAATTCATTGCAATTACGGGCTACACTTCGTTTATTTGAGATTAGAATAACGCTGCTTCGTTGCACTCTGCTGTTAATTCCCGTTCTCATTTACGTAGCCGTTTGATTAATAAATCGTTAATTGTATTTATGGAATAAGTGACGATTAAATTTAGTGATTATCTATCACCCGCTACTGAGTCCCGGCGATCCAGCGCGTCCCCACCTATAATCGTGACGTAGCCCGACAGAAATCCGCTGTTTAATGATTACTTACCGTTCAGCTGAACAGTAAGTAAATTCCTTACCGTTCGCCTCTTGGTTGTTGGTCGTAGCAACCCGTAAACTGAACTTACTGCTATGGAAACCTGTACGGTAAATGATTGAAAAAGTGATGGTCGTACAAAAAAACAATTTTTGTTTTAATTAAAATACAGATAATATTGGAAGACACTTGTCAATGAAACGTTTTTCAACCATCATTTAATAACAACTGAGACACAAACTTTTTTTTAATCTTTTGTAAATGACAGGTCAAACTAATATTTTATTAGTTCAAAGAAGTGGCTTATAAATTATAATATCTGAGAGGAACTAAAAACATGAATGCAGTTTTTAACTCAAATATTAAAAAAAAGAGATACCTACATTTCTGCATTCCACAAACTATGAAACGATAATAAAAAATAAAATAACGACACGTGAGACTGACACCTGCATGGTACTTATGGAAAAAAATTACCCTGCAGATGTATACTTCTTGAAATAATTACCATGAAAAAAGTATCGTTTAATACCCGACAGAATTTTATGTAGACTAGAAAGTCGAGATGAATAATTTTGTGAAATATAATGACTTTGCTTTTAACAGTGGTTATACTTACAATATTATTTGAGTATATTTTAAAATTGGAAACTCATGTAGTGATATAGCAAAAAATAAGAAGAATGGAGTGTTTCACGATAAGCAAAGCAATTAGAAAATTAACGCCAATCAAAAATAAATATTTTAAATAATAACCGAGTGAAATGTGGTATTGTAATAATTTGTTCTAAATAAAATAATTTAATTTGTGTGCCATGTTGTAATACTAAAAAAATATAAGTATATTTGGAACATTTCTTTTACACTAGTTTTCATTTATAAACAATTTGATGGTATTTATTTAATCATTAATGACTACAAGCACACTGACTTACCCACTATGGTGAGGTACACGGGATGACCTATAGGCGGTGTAGTGCTTATTTGGCATTCGTATATGCCACTATCCTTTCGTTGAGGGTATCGTATTCTTAAGGTCCACTCTTCCGTGTGAGGCGTATGAATGGCTTCAAATCTTTGATCTGAAGTGTAAGTGTATCTGCCCACAGTCAGCAAGTGAATATCACGGTGCCTAACCCAAGAAACCTGCAAAAGAAAATTCGTGTCATAAATATAGGACGTATATAATTCAGTAGATTGGGTAGCAATAGAAGGAAATGTTTGCAAAAGACGATTCGAGGATGTTGAGTGGGCTATATTTTAAAGTTAAGGATCAAATTAAAAACCGTATTACTACTGTTATAATGCCATTGGCGCCTTTTTAAACGTTTTATGGCCTCTTAAGAAAATAATCTGGCTACAAAGGGCGTGTTAAGTGCACTGCAAATCTTCAAATGGAAAACTCAATAGAATTGTGTCAATGACATGTGGATTTATAGTAATTCAGTTTAAAATGTTATATTTTGTACACCTGCAAACTACCGAATAGTGGTATAACAGCAGGTTTTAATGTGTACAAGTTGTTATAAAATGCAACATGCAATTTGCTTTGTAAATTCCTGGCTTATTATGTGATGTGTTCTAGTTGGAAGTTAATGATTTGATCTCATTTGTTTGAGTTTCAGTTGTTAATTAATTGATAACTTTCCAGAATTTTAAAATTAATTTTCAATTACCTTCAGTGTCGTGTACATTTTATATTAATCATTGGTATTAAAAATTATATTATGGTAATAGTGTCATTCAAAAATTAAATTTAAGGTAACTATTGTTACTTCATACTGATTGTCCAGAAAGGTGGAAGAGTATAAAAATCAATAATTGATAATTATCGGTGCAAAAATGAAGCGAAAACGTTAGAGAATCGTCGAATACTTATAAGAAAACTGAATAATTGCTGCAACTTCATGTAAATATAACATCTAAAAGGTAAAAAACAACAGAAATAAAAAGAGGGCTCATACACAGAAAAGTAGTGGAATACTTATACTATAGATATTGTGGAAAAAATGAAACGAATAATTTAACAAGATCGACAGAAGTGACATTGTTTATAATTGTTGTTATTTCCATGCAGCTGATATGAAAGTAAAGTAAAAGCTCAACTATGCCATAATTCAAAAGTATGTAACTTGTCCAATAAAATTTTGTATAACATCAAACGCTTTTGAAAAGTCGGTGTATAATGTATAGACAACTAGCTTTTGGCCTTCACGGACTTAAGGTAATAGTATATTATTTTATAAGGGGTAAAAATGAAACTTTTTGTGGCGAGTCCATAAGTTTGACGCCCAACCGAAGCGAGGTAAATACAGACAATTAAATTAAAGAAGAAATAAAAAAAATTGGAATTTGTAATTATTAAAAATTAATAAATTAAGTTATATCTGGATACTGTTACAATATGGTTCCATTGTCAACAACAAAATTTCAGAAAACAGTTTGCGTGGAAATATCGCTTAATTTATTTATTATTTCTCATTAAAAGAAAAGTATTTGCGATGAATTTATTTAGTATGAGTGCACTTCAATTTGTATATGCAATTAACAAGAATTATATATACTTAATACACATTTTTAGGTAAGTATTGACGAGTTAAAGTAATATTAAAACTAAACATATATTTACTTATTTTTATATTGTAGTACATAATTTAAGTTATCTGCAGGCAAGTAAACAAAGTCCGTTTGCACGGAAAAAGGTAGAGGGAAGGAAAAAGACCTGGCGTAGAGGAAGAGAACATAATAAAAAAAATTATGCTATCTTAACTTTATTAATTGGCTTTTTTATTTTGTCTCGCATTAATATTATATGCAATTTACATTTACAAATCTAACTGGTTTCATCTTTTTCCTAAAATATTTGCATTTTCTGATTGTGACAGCATGAAATCTGTATTAAGTTCCATAAAAAAATATTTTCTAGCTACTTGACGGCATAAACTGCTGTTAAACATATCCTACTTTGTCATCTAAATTTATTAAGCTTAAATAACATCATTCAAGTTGTGTTGCTAGCTATATAGTTAGGAGTATAAATTATGGATTCTCTACATCTGTTGCCCTAAAAAAATCGTATTCGTATACTCTCAAAACGGTTGTTATATATATATTTTAACATTACTTTACTTTCATTGTTTAATTGGAAACTTTACTTTGAAAAAAAAAACTGAACAGAACCACGTAAAATAAAAACCTACCAGAAACGTCCACTTTAATTTAACTTCCACTGTGGTAATGAAGAGAGATAGTACTTCTCCCGCACGACATAAATGGAGCTAAAAATCCTCGTCAGATGTTGAAACATATATAAAACTGATAACATACAGAGAGTATTCCTGAATGAATGAATTATGTCTCTTGTGAACACAAAAATTATAAAATACACACGTTAATTTATTTCATTCATATACACATACTAAAATGCAATTACACCAGTTCGTCGAAAGACTGCTAATTAACCTGTCAGTGAGGCTACGGATCTTATCTTTTAATTCGTTACAGCAAAAAATTCCACACTTTATTTATATTTCTAGTTTTATTTAGTTTCGTTTAGCTTAGAGAATGAAACGTTTGAAAAAGAAAACCCTAACATTTGTAATCTCTTGTTACTGTTCCGGCTAAATACACTGTCCCAATAAAAACAACGTATTTTACTGAAAGACAGACAATGATAATCTCAAAGCGTATACATCGAAACAGAAACATAAAGCTCCCTCGCTGTGTTTTCAGGTGGAAACTCAAGGAATAACACAGATAAATCAGCTCTAACTTTTTTGCAGACGTGGCAAAAATAATTTGTTTTTATTCCGCTGAGCTAACTTCATAGCTTATAATGGATTTTAGAACAGAACAGAAATATTAGCTAATTTATTTCGTAGACAAAAGTTACCGAACTGGAGTAAATTTTTTAGGTAGAAGTTAGAGAAGAGGAAAATACCACAAATGAAAAGTAGAAATCCAGCGCTTTGAAGGTTTCGCCCAGATCAATCAATCCCTCAGGACCACGCGTAAACTTTCCGTCTCCATTAATAATGCAAAAACTTTATAAAAGAACCTATCCATGATTCAAATTAAGAAAGTTGCGGTCGGCGAGATCAAGAAAATGGAGAACCAGCAAACGTTTTGTTATTCACCGTAAAGTTTGCCGTTTCTATGTAGTTTACGTGTAGATTTTCCGTTATAAATAAATAATATTTCAGGGGTAAACCGTTCCCTCGAATAAAACACGCTCGGTCTAAATTCTAATCTTAAAACTTGTTTCGTGACTTTAACCGAAAAAGGAGGAGTGCCGTCTCTACACTTACATGCAGAAATTTCGCCGCAAATTGCTGGAAAAATCTTTATTTATTCTTTTTTCAACATATTGGCCACGCTTTTTGAATAGGATATAATTTTTTAATGAAGTTTTGTTTGGTTCGTATTCTCTCCATTTCCTCCGAAGGCAGGTTCGCAATAAGATCAAGACGGATAACGAATTGGATAATAATTAATTTATTCGGGAAAATATGGGCAATTATGTGACCCAGGGCGATTCCAAATTGTCCACAACTCGTTGCAAATTCTCTTCGGGTATCGACTTTATGAACTTTGTAATGAGTTCCCTAAAGTACTGGAAGCTCTCAAGGCTCAGCTCATAGACTTTGTCTTATACATAATTCCACAAAAGTAGCCACAAAAGGTAAGCTGAATAAACGAGTTTGAAGCTTGAATTTTTTTCAGAGCTTAAAATTTATGACTGCGGCGTCATGATGCGCAGTCCTTGTACATTTATATCGGTTACCTTTAGTCGAGATGTGTTTTTACGCACAACATTCATTGCTCGCAGAGCAATGATAATTTCAACGCATAATAAGGGGTTTTTTCGAGATTTTACTTTTACCTATTTCGTTTTCAATTTAACTTTGTTGAATTTCACAAAAAAGCTCAACTTGCTTGATTTTTAAAACGTTAATCCTCATACTTTACACTTGCATTTAACCTTAATAAGTATTAAAAAACACTGTTAAAACAACTACGTATGTAAAAACACAAAAAAACTATTGTTTAAGAAAAAATTACGTCAAAATATATATTATAAAAATATTGTTTCATAATTATTTTTTAATTTTAAATAAAAATATTGAACACCTGTAAACCAAATGTAAAACAGATCTCTTCACGCCTTTATGAAGAAACTATATTCGGGCATGTAATGTCATTTGAAAAACAAAATCGTTTTTGTATTATGTAGACATAGTTGCAAATTAAAACAATTTGACGGTCCTCACATACGGAAACGGGCGTGTTTTAATTAAAAATTACGTTCTAGTGGAATCAATGTAGTATTAGATCATACTGATGTTTCAAGTGAATAAAACTTCATGTAAGTGAATTATTTTCTTTAAATGCCCAAATAAATTATGAAGCACGATTCTGTTTTTAAACGCAGAATCTTCACAAGTACGAGTGATACGTTTAGAAATATGCCAACAAAAAATTTATTATTTTTAATCGTAAATAGTTAAGATCCAACACTGAGCAGAAAGTGGTGTACATACAGACAAGAATTTATCATTCGGATAGCAAGTAGGACCAAATAGTGGTATGAGAGTTACAAGTTACAAACATGACAAGCTGAGATCATCTGTCAAAGAATCTAGTCTGCTTTGATCTAACCGACTCTGATCAACATGATCTGACTATTGGAGAAATTACGAACAATGGTATGTTCCTAGGAGAACAACTTTTGGCATTTTGACACTGGAGATAGCTAAAGGTGAAATTGAAATTTTCATTTTAATTTATTTTAATGTAATTAAAAACAAATTAGCATTAGTTTCATTATCATTGTCAACAAAGTCTTTACATATGTTAATTTGATATGTTGCTTCTGTTAGCAGAAACAGCAGGACAATGTGAACGGTTTTCTTCACTTGTTTCTTTAATGATGTCTGATTTGTTGACTGTAATGTTTAAGACTGTGAGATACAGAGTTCAATAAAATATTTGATTGCAATTACATTTTTTGCAGGGCGTTAGAGTACCAGGTGACGGACTTTACGCCAATCAGACGTCGCTAAATGCCTCGTTAAATGCGTGATTACTTAATCTCGGTAAAATGCTAAATAAACGTATAAACAGCGCATCATTGATGGCAGGTTTAA